GCTTCAGTTGAGACCTGTGTATATAAATTAGTGGCCTTATCTGATTCTGTGGCGGTCAAAAGTGTAACTCCTGCAGACTTCCTTTTTGGTGAAAGGTAAGGATTGAAACCTGTGGCCAGGTTTGGGGGTTTTGGCATGTAGCCAGCGCTGGCCTCTGTTAGAAAGTCTTGCCTTAGTCCAGCAGCAGCTGACACCTTCCTTTTGGCTCCCCTCTGACCTCAGGGCATGTCTCATTAGCAGATTAAGCCCAGAGTTAAACGAGTCCTCTGGGAGCAGAGGGTGCAGCCTCTACAAGCCTGCCACTCTGGCTGAAATGATTTTCCTGAGGCCAGATAAGGACTGCTCTGACTTGCCAGAGGGGAGAAGATAAAGAGATAAGTTTTGTTTTGCAAAATCTGCTCCTGAATAAATCCTGGGAAACTCCACAGTAAACCGCGATGTCACAGCCGCTAGCTGCTTTCGGGGTAGCGAAGGGGAAGGCGCGTTAAGGTCCTCAGGCACCATAAATCTCTTTACTTCGCATGCCCAGTGGTGGGAAGACTCCTGCCCTGCTCAGGCCGCCTCTTGCTGGCAGCCTGGCACGGGGGCGATGGCTTTCACACTCCACCTGCCGCCCCGACTGCCAGCCGGGGTCAGCCGGAGGTAAGAGCAGGGCAGGAGGCTCGCAGCGGGCCGGCCGCAGCAGGGATTAGCCGCCTCGCTGGGCCGCTGCCCTCCCCAATTTTCTGGTCAGTAACTTTTTGAAAGGAGAGCGTGTCTGGGGCGGCAGGGAGGGGCAGGCAGGAGAGGGTGACGAGATGAAGGGGGAGAAGAAATGGTGGCTGGATTCTTTCCAGGGCGGAAAGCTATCTGTCCAAGAACTTCTCCGAGGCACAGATTAAATATTCCTCCATCCACCATTAAATTACCGTAAATGGGTGACTGTGCGATGTCCTGACAGGCTGTGTGCAATAAGCAGTGCTGTGTCTCTTCTCCTTTATACCTCTGCATTTTTCTCCCTCCCAGACAGGAACTTCTGTGTCTGTAAGACTCATTCTGCCCAGGACTAAGCCTCCAGTCAAGACACGCTTACTGCCAACTTAAAATTAAAAAAGAACGGGGACATGGAGTGGACTCTTAGACCCGCGTCCATGTTTTTAAACTGCTTCCTACTAAAATAGACCTTTTCTTAAACTGCTGTTTAGACTCCTTACAAATGCAGAGCCTTCAAATCCTAAGTAGGGCAGGATAAAGGTAAACCATAGCTTTTTTGATGTTGGCTGAGCAAAGGATGCAGTGAGTGTAAAGGGAAGCGAAATGTCAACAGCACAGAGCTGGAGTGTGCAGGCCAGAACAAACCAGTCCCAGCCCCACAACCATTCATCTGCTCAACAGCAAGCAAAACTTGTTGTTCAGTGGCATTGAGAACACGAGTGATCCGACTCTTAAGCTGTTTAGTTGAGTGGCTTAGTGAGAATGTTACAAATAACACAACTTCACCAGTGCCAGGCAGCAAATTGTCAAATGGCAGATCCTGCAGAAGGAGGTGAATTCATGAGACCAGAGGGCTTAGTTCACAGGACCTAAAAGAGGCTAAGGACCTACACAAACAGTGGTGAAACTGTGACAAGCAGGAAAACAAGACAGAAATACTGCGTGCACAGAAACCCTAGCCAAAGCTCTCTGTAAAGGTAGAGTTGGGGAGCAAAAGAAACCCCAACTGTGAAGCTAATGCAGCCACTAAAAGTGTTGTCTCTCTGTAAAGCCTGAAATCCTAGGAGACCAGAAAGTGAAGCCCTTGCCAGTTTAATTTGTAAGAATTAGGTGTAATGAAGAAATTGAAAGTCTCATATGATCTTGTAGGAGCATTCAGGCTTGAATTTGGACCAAAAGCATGTTGTACTGAGTTTTGAGTTTTATACGCCTGTAAAAAGTAGCAGAAATGACGGCAGGAAACCTCACTTCCCACTGTGTCGTTAGGGAACTTTCACCTCCCCCAAAAGAATGGTCTTTTATTTACTGTTTGTCTCTTACGCAGGCTGAAGCCTTCACCTGAGTGTGAACAGTATCAAGGACATGAAAACTTCCCATGGAAAAAAGATCAGTCCTGAAGTTCATGCTGTCAGCAGGATAACCAGCAAATTGTCTCCCCCAGATGGCCCAAACTTTAATGGGGTCACCTTGCAAGAGTTGCCTGTAGGATATTAGAGGCCCCCAAGTAACTGTTGGGGCATAAAAAACGTTATGTCCAAGAGTTGCATCACAGACAGATGTTCCTTTGACAGGTCATCCTTTGCTTAACTGTTCTTCCATGTATGTTTCCTGACATTCATTGCATCAGTGGCAGCTCTGGGGAGCAGGGGCTGTACGGATGTTTGAAACAGATGAAAGTGAAGAGTGAGGGACCTACTTTTTATTTTGCAATAGCAGTGGGAAAGCCTGGAGTGCTGGGTATGTGAGGTCCATTTCTTGCCTTATTTACTCCCCTTGTCTGATACCTCGTTACTCCCCTCCCTTCTTCCTGCCCTACCTTCCATCACTCTTCAGCTTGGCAGTAGATTTCGCTGGGGCTGCACTGAACTGATCCAATCCTGCTGAGAGGCTGAGGTCCGCACTGATACAAAGGCTGCACATCAAACTCGATGCCTGTGTTGACAGTTTGTAGTGTTTCTCCTCCCCTTTCCACTGAGATGTAGGTTGTGAAAGAGAGCAAGTGACTGTGTGCAGTTACAGTTACAGTTGAACAGTATTTTGTAAATATTTCCTGAAAGCTTGTGAAATTTCTCACACGTTCTTGATTTCCCTTGAAGTCTGCAGAGTAGGCATACAAAACATCACCCAGTCTAGCTCTGAGCGCAGGAGCATGTAAACAGTCTTTGGTTTTACAAGCTTTGTGTAGATGCCAAAGCCCGATGGCCAGTGGTGATATATTGAGGCTTTCGAAGACAGGGCAGTGCACAAGCCAAATTTTTAGCTATATGCTTTCTTACAGCTTTTTAGTCTGGACACAGCTTTTCCCTTGAAAATGAGATCATCTGAGTTAAGGTTTCCCTTGAAATGGCTCTGGCATAATTATCCTTGCTCTGACGTTTCTGGTGAACCAACTCACTAGTTCTTTGGTGTGTTTATAGATGCATCAATGATTTACAAGTGGGGTTTGTTGTAAATGTAACTCACTTAGGAAATGGAATGAGGCTTTAGTTTTGCTAAAGGTTTTTGGGTTTCAGCCTTGCTTAGTTGTACTGGAAGAGCTCTTTGACCCTGCCAGAGATTAGTTTTAGTACCAGTTATGAGATAGGCTTAACTAGTCCTTAAAAATAAGCGTGTTAAAGCTTTCTGCAAGGGATTCATTGTGGGAAGGGAACACCGCGGGTCCTAATTTTTTTATGCTTAATCTGCTGTTATTAAGTTAATTGTAGGGATTTGGTTATAAGCAGTGATGTAATTCAGACTTTTTTCCACTGTTCTTTCAACTTTTGGAAACCTTAAAGATTATTAAATCTTTAAAGTTTTAAGTGTACTTCTTTGTAACCATAAAAATCAATATAACAGTAAGATTCACGCTCAGTATCCAGTGGTATAGGAAATGACTGTAATCCTGGATCACACGTGATTAGGCCACTGCCTGGAAATAACCCCATTCAGAGAGCAACAAAACTTTCCATTTTCGAGGTCCATTTTCCCAGTCCCCTGATCAGAATAAACATGCATTTGGTTATGTGAATATCCTTATTTATAGTACTAAATAGCATTTTAGCATTATGAATGCTGACCTACTGTGAAAAAAACTGCATTGTCCTAAATTGCAGTTGTGAGCAGTAGCCGTCTTTTGTTCTTTCTCTTTTGGATCCTGCTGTTCGAATCACAGAGCAGTTAGATTATTCTGGTAACAGACTCCATTCGGGAGTTTATTTTTTGCAGAATGACAAGGGACCAACCATTCATAACATGATGAATACTGAGAAGGCTGTAGCTTGAAGAGCAAAAAGGATAGATTGACTCATATGTTGATGTCGTAGGTAATCGAGATGGAATTATATTCTTTTTCAGCTTTAAAAGAAATAGAAAACATTACATGCACTAGGAAAAAATAACTTGGTTAAATCTGTTTAGCTGCAGATTAATAGTTTAAAGATAGTGGGGGAAGCACCGTTTTATACTTGAGACAAACCTTGTTGTCTCACTTGGAAAAATCATACTAGGTAAAACCCCACAGTGACAGTTAATGAGCCTGGTAACATTTCAGGTTATTTCTGACTTCTGTGGTAGTGCATTAGTCATGTCTTCCTTATACACCAAATCCACGCTATACAATTTGAACGTCTTGTTTCCTTGGATATCCACTATTGTTCTTTGTACAGGAACTGTTGTATGTTTTACAGTGTTTGGGAATAGCAAATGAAATCTTACGTGCATTAGTTGCAAAATAAATGAATGCTTGAAATCTCTCATTTAAATGTTTGGATTATCACAAACCTCTTGTTTAAAGTGCAGCTAGGACACCAGCCTGCAAGCAGTCAGCATTGCAAATTGTTACCTATCATGTGCTGAAAAAAAATGTTTTACTGCAGAGCAGATGTTATCTCCATATGTAGAAGCAGAAAACCTACCAGATATACAGGAAGGTCAGTTATTTTAGCATTAGAAGTTATCTTTCTGTGTATGTGCATGTCTAGCAAAAACGGGGATAGATATGAAATTTCATGACAGAGAAAATTTGCCAAGTGTTTTGTATATTTGTGGTGTTTGGCTAAAGATTTGATTTTTTTTGTTGTAGCTATTGTGTTGCTTGTAAACAACCTGTAAACAGAGTATCAACAGTGGGATTCATCTACCATCACCATACCAAAGTCCTGCCTCCATGTAATACAAAGCAATTGTTAGTCTTAAATGAAACAATGCGACAGGGACTGGCAGTGAAAACACATCAAAGATGTTCATCAAACTGTTGAAGTTAGAAGCATGTTTTAATTATTTCAAATTTGAAGCAGTTTGGCTCTAACAAAAGTTTTTTGCTGCAGATCATCCTGTGGGGTCGAACTGAGAAATGCCTGAAGGAGACCACAGAGGAAATCAGGATGATGGGGACAGAATGCCATTATTTCATTTGTGATGTAGGAAACCGAGAGGAGGTCTATCGGCAAGCCAAAGCTGTGCGGGAGAAGGTTAGTGTGTGTGGAAACTGTGTGTGTAGGCAGAATTTAGTAATTCCTCATCTTTGATGAGGAAAAATGTTGTACTTACTAAAAAGAAATGTAGCCCTCCAGATTATATTGTACAAAGTCTAGCTACCTGTTTTAAGTGATTCAGAGGGTTTACACGGCCTCCAGGCAAAAATGCCAAAAGCTATGAAAATAAGAATGTATTCAGATGTAATAGTAACTGCTAATCTGTGAGGAGAGACATTAGTTATAATAAGTCGTGTGTTTTTTTGCAGGTGGGTGATATCACTATCCTAGTGAACAATGCTGCTGTGGTCCATGGTAAAAGCCTGATGGACAGTGATGACGATGCACTGCTCAAATCACAACATATAAACACCCTGGGACAGTTCTGGGTAAGATAAGCTCTCGTATCTCATGTATTCAGACTTGGGAACGAGAGTGACAGATAACAGCCAGTAAACACGTGGCTGCTACAAAGTCTTTCTAAATGATGCTTGGTAAAATCAGTCTGACATGGAAGCAGGAAACACAGTATGAGGGGCAAAGGCCAGAGGAAAGAAGTCTAAAGAAAAATTTAGTTTGACAGGTTCTCTCAAATGGATTTCAGCTACTTCTAAAATATCACATTAAAAGCTTCCAGTGGCATAGCATTTGAAGCTCTTGTATCCCTGTTCTGTGATTTCCAGCAAAATATCTGACATCTTTTGAGAAATCCTGAGGTCACAGAGGAGAGTTGTCTATGGAGCATGAGAGGAGCATGAGACTGCCTTGCTTTGGGAAGGAAGCTCATTCCATTCTGAATTAGATAATAGTAATAAAAAAAATAGCTTCTTGTGATTTCACCACTTCACTGAAGACTTTACCCTCTACAAGATGTTTTTAAAATACAAAGTGCATTCTGCTTGTGGCCTTTATCTGTGGGCACTGCTTACATCTGCTCTAGAAATATTCTGTTGTTTTTCTATGCAAACTCTGCCTGTTTAAAAGCTTTCAGAGAATGCAAGGCAACAAGGCCGTCTCCCACTCCTTTCCTAACTTAACAGACAGTGCAGTTTAACGTGTCTCTTTGTCACCTTATTTTTTCAGTAACTAAGTATTGTTTTTGTTGTATCTCTGCTGAGCAAACCTTTTTTTTTTTTTTTTTTTTCTTCCTGTGTTGTTCTTCAGACCACCAAAGCATTCCTGCCAAGGATGCTGGAGTTGCAGAATGGACACATTGTTTGCTTGAACTCTGTCCTAGCCTTGTCAGCCATCCCTGGTGCCATTGACTATTGCACCTCCAAAGCCTCAGTCCTTTGCCTTTATGGAGAGCCTGACCTTGGGGCTGCTAGACTGTCCTGGAGTGAATGCCACAACAGTCCTGCCCTTCCACACGAGCACAGAGATGTTTCAGGGCATGAGAATCAGGTCAGTCCAGGGGAACTAGAATAAAGCATCTCATTTTAAATGAATCATCAGAATACACTCCTAATTAATGCTTCATTTAGTTAAGAGAATTTGATGTCTCATTTGGCTGCCTGGGAACAGAGGGTCACTCTAGGCCACCTGGGACTCATCAGACTGGTTCCCTCAGTTTGCTGGCATATTCGTACAGCTTGCCTGTACTGTGTGAGGCATTTGCTTCTACCGAGAAATCTGAAAGCTATTTTTCTCTGGGTGTATTTGGGCCATTTGCAGCCACTAGAGAGGGAGGGTAGGCAATCTGAAAACTGAGGTCATTCAAAAAGGAGCAGTCTACAAATTACTTGAGAATTAACAGTACAAATTCCTTCTTTATCCACTGAAATACTCAATTCTTTCCCATTAAACGGAATGAGATCCATTTACTGAAGAAAGGCTGTCACTACCTCCTTTTTAGCTCTAAGAGACCAAGCTAAATTAAAAAAAAAAAAAAAAAAAGGCTGACCAAATTAATGTTTTACAATCAGCAAAATAACCTATTAGTTTGTGCTCTCTTAGTCAAGGAAGTATGCAGTGTCGAGCCACTATAGGAGCCAGGAAAAGCCTTATGTTTGGTACTAAAAGCAAGGAAGGAAAATACTCACTCGTCTTTCACCTGTCAAGAATTTGAACCAAGCTAAGAGCAGCAGAGAGGAAGAACACCAACACTGAAGAGACAGCATTTGGCCTTGGTTTGCAATTTAAGAAAGTCTCTGAGTCAAGGTCCTGAATACTCTCTGCCACTTCATCCTAAAGGCACCAACATGCACATTCCTTAACTATTTAGCTAACTCAGTAGTACAGGTTGGAACAGTACCTCATACGCTTTTCTGCTACTTCCAGCCTGCTTTGGGGGATGTCTGAATGCCAGTAGCCAAAGAAAACTCAGTGAATAACAGGACTTGGACAGTGATATCTTAAAGGAGTTTGGTTAACAAATAATTATTTTATTTTTTACTTTATTTATTCAGGTTCCCTAATCTTTTTCCTCCTCTCAAGCCAGAGACTGTGGCTAGGAGGACAGTAGAAGCCGTGCAGATGAATCAAGCCTTCCTGCTCCTTCCATGGACAATGCATGTTCTTGTCATCCTAAAAAGGTAAGTATTTCCCTTGCCCAGCAATAGCCTTGCTAGTCAGGCAAGATTGGCTTACAATCCTTGCTGTCCACCAAGGCAAACCTCAGTTTGACTGTTACCTGATAGTCAGGATCAGACCAGTTCATCCTTTCCCAGGAGAGTCATAGAAGCAAAAGAGGGAAAACTTGATGAGGTTCTTATGGCAGATTTTCTTCCTTTACCTGTTTCATAAAGTACCGCCTTTAAGAAATGAGTTTCACTCCCAACATTCTGTTTCCTGAGGTTGGAACTGATATCTGGGAAATTTCTTAACAACTAACATATGCATCGAGTTGATTTTGATTTAGTAAGCCGCTCTTTGGACTCTGTGCTTTGTATTGTAAAGGATTTCTGTACAATAAAGTATGTATATCACAGCTGTATTTAGAGAACATTGTTAAAGCCGTGAAACTGTCAAAAATATTTTTCTATATGATTAGGAAAGGAATTTTAAAGTGCCTAAGGAAAGAAAGTCATAACTTCATATCCTGATACAACTGAATACAAAATACATTTAAAAACGTGTTTCCATGCAAGTCTTTGCAAAACCTGTTTTGGTCAGGAACTGAAATAAGACATTGTGATTTCTGTCAAAAATAATTACAATACTGCATGCTGAACAGGAAAAACATATGTACATATTTACACCTCCTCTTTTTGGAGTAGACTAAAAGGTTTGTCTGGTCTGCTTATTTTCTTTCTGTTTCTCCTGCAGCATTCTCCCTCAGGCAGCACTTGAAGAAATCCACAAGTTTTCTGGAAGCTACACCTGCATGAACACTTTTAAAGGGCGAACATAGACTTGGTGATGGAAGGACTATTCTTCAGTGAAACCAACACAAGCATGAAAATCCTGACAAGACTGTGAATCAGCAGTCTTGGCTTTTAGCCTGTTCATGTGACTTGCGCTGCTTTGAGGCAACACATTTCTTGCAGGTCATATCCATAGTAACATGACCTTTGCACAGGATTGAATGACTAGACTATGGACCCTTGGAAAGAAAAAACAAAAGCTTGAAAAGTTTATATGATGTTTAATTCTTAAGAGTTCAATTGTTAAATCTACTCATAGGTTTAAGATGTAATTTTTGTTTTTAAAGTGTCTGTAATCTGTCTCAGCTGAGAGGCAGCACATCACAGCCCAGACTTTATACATTCTCTTCAAAGGAACTGCAACTGCAAATTGATTATGATTTCATTTCAGCTTTTTGAATGGGAAACTTTAAAAATAGTTTGAAGAACTACAAGTTATGGACATTTAATGGAAGCTTCTTTCCATTCCTTCACTTTACATTGATGAAGCTGTTCCCAGCTCATGTCAAGGAAGGAGCAAGCTGTGGAGCAAACTGCTGTTTCCTTTGTTAAAGGCCACCCAGATCTTCCCTCTGAAGGACTGTTCTGTGTCCGGGAAACCTGTCTTACAGCACCTGTGAGGGCTGGAGGGGGATGCTCAGTCAGTAGAACATACAGTTTGAATAGTGGAAGATTCCATCAATGAGCTCATATATGAAATTTAGTTGTCTTTCTGAATATTTTTGTTCATTTATGATGAAAATATATATATATTTTTAGCATTAATCCCAGATTGCCACGCATGTAGGCAGCATCACATTGGGGATGCACTAAATCTAGAACTACAGCTAGAGCCTGCTTGTACGAACACACATTCACTGACAATCCATAGAGAGTAAAATCCATTGTATCAATCTGCACAATGAAATAAGTGGAGTAATTCTCTGAAAATAGAAGAGAGAGTACTGTAGTGCTCATGAAATGTGAAGTTTGGAAGCACAGTTAGCAAAGATCTGATTAAATGCACGTTAAATTCAACTGGGAATATACCCATTGTTTTTTAGGGACATTGAATCAGGCACTGATCAGTCAAAAGTGATAATCAGCCAAAAGTGATAACTATTGCTTGGACTGAAATGCCAGAAGCAGCTAGACATTATTTATTTTTGTAATGATATACTCTGACAGCCCAGTAAGAGCAACACCGCATTCCTGTGCCAGATGCAGTGTGCAACACTAGGCACAGTAATGTAGTCGAAACAAATCAGAACACCACTAAAAGAGGCAATAATGTAATTGCAATACAGGAATGTAGCAAGCGGGACTGGAGAACACCTGAATGAAGCATCTGAAGGAAAGCCACATGGTTAAAGTACAGGAGTAAAGTTAGCACTCCTGGCTTAAATGTTGACCTTTTTTCAGATGTCCTGCGTGACCCGGAGCAAGATGATAATCTCAAGGTGCACCTTGACCTGCAAACCAGATATTTCTAGTGTTTCCCTACCTCAAAAGTTATAAGTCTTACTACCTTAGTGCTTGTCAAATGCTCAACAAATTCAAATGGAACACTCTATAGAAAGGTTTTATGCAAAAATCTAGAAAAGGAAAAAAATACCTCAGAGGTTGCAATCTATAATTTCTTACAGAGATCTGAGTTCCAGCAGAAAAGCTGTGAGCTTGCATTTGAGATGTTTCTTTGGCTCTGCCCTGTAGAATGGAAATCAACTACGTAGAAGCAATGACGTGAATGTTAAAATCTGAAGGCCTGATCCTTAATGCAAATCAGTAAACGTATCTCTTCTTAAGCAGTTCAAGAGGAAGATATTGCAAAAAATGTCATTGATGCAAGCCCCTTTTCCTGCACGGGTACTTTGGGGGAGTTCTCTCTAGGTCAGTGCTTTCCTTCTGAGTGCAGAACATCCAAGCTAGAGCAGTGTGCCAGCTTTGACACGGTTTCTTACAATGGAGTTTTGTTTTGAATTCCTAGATGTCTGAGGCTCTCTGGAGAGGATGAAACTTTGATCTCTGTGATTTTGATGCCCACACTAATAGATGCTTTCAGCTTCATTTTTTTGTCAATTTTGGGGAGGAAACCTAATTCATTGAAAACACAGCTGCAGTGAGGGGAGACCTCTTCCAGGATCTGCCAAGAATACAAAGGTACTACATTTAACCAGGAGACACATGGGAAAGGAAAAGATGGTTCCTCACCTTAGGCACTGTCATCCTTTCTATTTTGTCATCGACCACGGTCAGGAATGCCAGGCTTGCAGATGTGAGAGCAAACAGAACTGGTGAGACAGGACACCTCACAGTGTCCTTAAATCAAACCTTTATGTTGAGACTCTATTCATTAATGACATCCTAATGCAAAAGAGAGGTTAAAAACTAGTGCACACATTGAAATGCAATCTCCACTCATCTCCAAATCCTGTCCCTTACATGAATCGGCTTTTTCTGCAGTGCATAAAAGATGTTCCCTATCTACAGAGGTTGTCTTACATACTAAGTGCTGTTGATTTCTTTCTAATGAATATAAACAAGTCAGAATGTAGCAGACTCATCGTCTCACTCCTCTCATACACACACACATGCACACTTCCCTCTCTCTTTCCCTCAGGGTCTCTGAGCGGACAGCAGGTCAAATAGCAGTCACAGTGGGGGAGAGGTATGCAGCAAACAGAAAATAATGAGGAAAACATTGACTTTGCTTTTCAGATAGTAAGGAAGAGTTGGGTAAGAGAGTTTCTTCACTTGTGAATGTTGCGAGATAGAATGCTCTACATACAGTGAGATACTTGCAAGTCTGGATGAATACGTATGAAGAGGGTTTTTTGTTTTTTAAAAGAAAGCCTCTGGAATGCCTGCTGAGGTCTGCTGTCCCTTTGCACATAAGGTTGGTATTGGGTAATTCTGAAGTGCTGCAAATGTGGACAAGCTTTGTAGAAGCCTAAGGCCTTCTCAAAGGCATTTCCGCCCTTTGACTTATTTTAATTTTGGTTTTCCCTGCTCTCTCCACTGCCTCCTGCTTTCCACTCCACTAAACTTTTTTTTTTTTTTCCTTCTGTATTCCTGTGTCATTACTGCACTTTTCAGTGCCACCATCTTGAAGCCAGATGTCATACAAAGGGTCTGGACTAAATCTAAATCAGGGTATGTATTTATTATGCAGCTGGATGAATCAAGGTGAAGCTGTAGGAGCAGGTCAGAGAGGTTTCATATGAAATTAGGTAAGTTCTTCAGGTTTTACTTGCTCTAATCTATGAATTAAAAGGCCCTTACCGTAGTTTATATACAGGAGTTTGCTGCCATTTTAAAATTGGAATGATGATAAAGAAATGGTAGTCATTGTGGGACATGCATTGTCCTGACATAAGACCCTTTATTTAAATAAAAAAACTCTGTATTTAAATGACCCTCTATTTAAAATTTAAGTATTTTCAGTTTCAGGTGGTTTCAGAATCTGATATTTGTACCAAGGAATTTTCATAATTAGCAAGTCAGTGTAGGGAGAGAGAGGCTGGAAGGAGTCATTTGTAAGTAGATCTGATTTTTATTGATTTTGTATTTATTTTTATTTTTTGATTAAAAAAATAATAATATCTCATTCCTTGATGCAACTTTGGTAAACTTTAAAAAGATCCTGCTGTCTGGTATTTTTAGGAGGATGAAGAAAAAAGGAGTGAGCCGTGAAAGTGGGAACTAAACCCTACCTACCCGTGCACTGTTTTATTGAGGTTGAAAAGTGACAGAGTCCATCCCAATAATTCTTCTAGAATCACAGAAAGTGCCTGGGCAAGTGATTCTACTGTTTGCAAAGAGAAACTTGTTGTACTTTTATGTAATGTGTTAATTAGTGTGGGTGGATATGACCAGATCTAGTCTTGCAAGCCTTTCAGACAACTCCCTGAACACTCCCACCTTGAGATATTAACAGATAGCATTACACTTGCCAAATCTCATAAAAGCCCACTAACAGACTTAATGCAGGCACAGTGTAAGTGGGTGCATTTATTTCAAAGAGAACACATCTGTTTGTAGCAGACATGAATTCGGCCTAGTGTTTTCTTCTAGCTGACATCCGACTGCTGAGGAAAGAATACAGGGTGACCTTGGATCGTCTATTTTGCTTTTATTTCTTCATGTGTCTTTAATAAACTAAATCTGGGTGATGGCCACTCTTTTGACAGCCCTTGCTCATAAGTTTTTGGGGTAAAGCAAGCTTATGTCAAATGTATTTTACACATTTTTCACCAAACAAACAACAGCTCTGAGAACCAGGATATTCTGCATTGTCTTTGCAGCTCGCACCTCCCTGGTGCTGAGATCCTCAGTCTTGCGTTGTTTCGCAGCCTGCTGGAGTTTGGAAACTGAGCAAACCCCGTCAGTCACAAGCAGCAGTTGCAGTCAGCAGTAAACAGAACGCTCTTTGTTGGAGTGCTTTTCTGAAAGAGGGCTGTGAATAGTGGCAGGCACCTCTCACACACTTTGGCAACTCGGAGAAAGGCAAGAAGAAAACCTGAACTTCACCTTGTCCCCTGCTGCTCATTCTCTTTTTATCCAGCGTGTCCCGCAGGAAGCTGGCAATTCAGTCACCTCAGTGACCAATAAACTGTCTTCCTACCCTCTATTCTACTGAGATTGCAACAATACCTTACTTCAATACCTTCACGGAGCTGGCAGTTTCAACAGAAACAACCCTTTCTGTATTCTCAAGAAGAGTCAGATTGGCAAGGTAATGTCTCAGACAGACCAGACGTGGTTTGGGGAGGTTCAAGTACTCCAGTCAGGGGCTAGAGATGGAAGACACAAGGCACAACTTTGCTGTTGCCAGTTGGATAGAGGGTTCTCCCTGCTCCTGTCTTCTTTTCTTTAAACATACACCCTCTTTTGTTTCTGTAACAGATCCCTCAAGCCCTCAAGGCTTTAGCAGAAACATACTGATCCAGCCTCTGTGGACTGGACGCAACTTAAAAGAATAGACCTTTGAGGAGACAATTTATAGCTTCACACCTTCCCAAAGAGACCAGGTTTATGAGTTCCTTATGTTAGCATTTGCCCCATATCTGAGTTTAAAGTAAGGAGATTGTGCTAGCACTGTCTTAAGTAGCAAGAATTCTCAGAGCCCATTCCAGTTCTTCTGAAGAGAAGTCTGAACAGAAACATAATGAGATATTACACATATGCTCACCTTTGCTATGGGTGTTACGTCATATTAACAGAAAAGGAAAAATAAGGCTGACTTTTCTGCACAAATCTACAGAAGAGCAGTTCCTCCTTAAGTAGGAACTAAAGCACTCAAGTGCAAGTACAGGAGAAAACAAAACAGAGGATAGATACAATCTTAGGGGGAGTGTGGTGGCCCTAAACAGCCAGAGGCAAGACTCCACCTTATATTCCTGAAGTTGTACAATAATAGGGGCATTGTGATTTTCATCCAAATACAAAGTCTATAAAAAGTGTTTGTTACTGCTGTTTATTCCTGTGGGTCACCATGCCCTAAAAAGCAGTCTGTTAACTTTGTATCTTGCTGGCTCAGAACACTCCAAATACTCCTGTTACGGTTTGCTGTCTCTTGTTTTATTTTTTCTGAGGAAGGCAAAGAAACCCATATATGTAAAAACAAGGAAGGGTCATTTTTGACTCACTACTCACTTTTTCTTAGTCAGCTGCAAAGGTCATCTATCATGCCTAAGTATTAGGACATGGTTCTGTGGGTTGCATAGCAGTCATGCTAACCCAGTAGTACTAGGTAGACGTGGTTCACTTTTTTTTTTTCCCCTTATGCAAAATCATTATGTTATTTGAATTTTATTTATCTGAAAGAGCTGCCTCTGTCCTGTACAGGCTTCTCACAGAGAGGCATCCTTGGTAATGAAATTTCCCTATGTTAATCCAATGGTAATGAAAAGAATGCAAAATTGAAAAGTTGCTTCTGAGATTTTCCCCAAGCATCTTCTCAAGCAATGTAGAATTAATGTAGATGAACAGTATTTGAACATCATTGACCTAAATCGAGAAATCTTAGAAACCTGCTGGCTCTGTATGTAAATGACCCTTCCCAAATTGACTTCCTATGTGTCTCCAAAGCAGTTCACCACTGAGATTTGACCCCTGACCAGTTTCTTCCTTGGAATCATCATTTGCAAACATTGAGCTTTGTGAACGCATTAACTGAAACTCTTTATCTTCCCTATTCAGGCACTTTGCAGCATAGCCACCAGCTGCTTCTGCTTTGGGCACTGCTATGGAGTGCTCCCAGATACTGCCGTAGCACATTCCAATATTAGGTATGAGGAAAGGAGGCAATTCATTGCTATCTTTGCCAGGAAAGTCACTATTTAGTGTCTTTATGCAGAGAGAGGACAGAAATAAACACAGAGGTGATACAATTTCTGGGATATTTGTCTATATGAAAAATGCTGTCATATGGAATAAAGGCTTAATATAATAAGGGTTCATCTCAGAAGAATGTTAATGGAAGATGGAAAAGGTTGCAATGGAAAACAAGTGAGATCAGAAAACACAATTCCTCTTCCTGGAGCCTGCTGAGAATGCTGATTTCATGCAGACTTGCTATAGTCAAGTCAGTTCACAAGAGACTTGCATTGTCATTATACCCCCTGCAACTTTGCCTATTACAAGTATACCAGAGGTGACAAGCTCATTGTCTCTGCTCTCTCAGCTGTTGAGTGTAGAAAAAAAAACTTTTTTTTTTTTTTTTTAATACCAATCCATCAGAGACTAAATCAATTATTGGGTTTAGTGTCAGGCTGAGATAATGGAGGAGATTTTTTAAGGTACCAGAAAGAAAAGTCACAGCATCTCCTAGCTGATTTCTTAAGGTGTCAGGTGACATTTATCACTGTGAATGATAAAGTAGGAAAAGTATGAATAAATCAGCAATAGGATTAAACACAATCACAAATCAATTTGTCAGCTATTGCTTTTTTTTTTTTTTTTTTTTTTTTTTTTTTTTTCCCCCAGCAATAAAATACCTTGTGATATCTTCTGGACTGTCACCAGGGCTCTAAAGTAATGGAGAATACTTGTAGAGCTGGACAACAATTTATTGCCATTCTAAGGGCTATGCTAAATGGAGTAGTGAGATTGGCACCAGCAAGCAAAGCATGTACTTTGGTAGCTGAATAGTCTGTAACTTTTAATATTCTAATGTTCTTGACTATGCAGTATCAGCTATTCTAATGTTTCTCAAATGCAAAAAAGCGCATCTTTACCCACATCATTATCATACTTCTGAAGCAAACACTTTCAGTTTCTTTGTTGTCCAGTTGGCATAGGTGAGGTTTAACAAGCAAGAAATATCGCCTAGAATTTCTTCTGGAGTAATTTGATGATGACGCAAACAACTATTTATTTAAAAAAAAAAAAAAGCCACGTGCAAACAGCTATGTTTAATCTTTCAGTAGAATGATTGCTTTGGTTCTACCATTCTGACCTCATTTTGATTAGTTTTAAACTTACAGTAAATGCATCATCATTCACTCGTGTTTTAAAAATCATTTTCCTTATACATATCTTCTCCACTCAAACAAGTTAAAGAATTACAAGTTTTCTCATGTAAAAATTATAATTTTATTTTTAACTCAGGCAAGTACTCCACACAACTCTCATTCCCTACATCAACTACGAGAAAAAAGAAAAAAAAAAAGAGAGAGAGAGAGAGATGTCATGTTTCCTGTGAGACAATCTGGTAGTTTGCAATCTTCAGTACTTCTGCTTGAAAAACTCTTCATCTTTCAGGCAGATTTGTCATGGCTTTTAATCTTGTACTACAGAGGAATTTATATTCTATGTTTCTTCAGTGATAGTCTTGCAAGTGACCTCTTAGAGAAGATGTTCTTTTGAATGAGCCATAGAAGCCATGCTGAGTTTACTTTAGTTGGGTTTGGTTTTTGCTGATCCCTTCATTTTTCATCATTCCATCTATCTATTCCAATTTTTCCTGTTGGGGAGGCCTGTGTTTTGAGAGTTCCTGAGCCAGAATGCTGTGCATGCAGATTATTCATCTCCTCGCCTTCCCTTCAGGCAGTCTCTCACCTGTGCGTGCCTGTGTCCACACCTTCTCATACATTAACATTGCAAACTGCCCTAAATATCTTTGAGATTAGCTTCCTTTAAAGCATGAAATGTACCAAAAGCCCGCAGAGCTTGCATTATGCTTGCTTAACGAGTTGACAACTGCATATTCTTTTTAAGGTCTTCACGATTTGAATTTGAACTGGGAGGGACTGTTAGGAACTGGTTGGCCTGAACACCATAGTTAAAGGGGAAATTGTAAACTAAAAGTCAGGTATCAGCAGTGAAAGAAGGCAAGTTTGCTGAAATGCACAATACAGGTGCAAAAGGTACAGAGTGCTAACACAGATTTAGGTGCAATGTTATCATTTTTTGGGACAAAGAATTGAAATTTGGATCTAGTGGCTCTTAATGAATCAGTGCAGATGAAGCAGAAAATACACAATTAAGCACACAAACACCTTCCGTCTGTCCGAATGCTGGAAATATGGTGCAAGCCTTGAACTGTAGGATACTCAGCACTGCCGTTTGATTTCTTCTGTTAATTTATAAATCAGAAATACTAACATAGATTGGATCTAATGATACCTAAAAGTGTCCTCGTGCGGCATGAAGTACACATCATGGTGGATCTGCTTTAAGGATAATAACTCATATTCTAGTGGTTTTCATTACAGCTAGCAGTACTTTTTGGCAAATCTTGCTGTAAAATTAGCCTGCCTTCTTTTAATGGATTATTTTTAAACAGACTTCTTTCAAAAAATAATTTATCAAATAGTTTAAATACACAGTGGTTCTCAGCCAATAATTTGCTTGTGAGTTATTCACCATAACTACCACTTTGAGTGTTTGCCATTCATTAATGTGTAGTTTTCCTGTGGAACTGGCCATCCAAATCTCACAGTGGCTTTACTTTCCCCTGGCTGGATGACTTCCAATCCCACAGAAAGCTTTGTAGGGGCTCCAATATGTCTGATGATGACTGTAAGATGGCTTCTGGCAACAATATTAATGCAAATGCATATTTGAATGCACTCTTATGACATATTCCAATCTTGTGATCAAAAACTTTCTTACAGAAATCTTCAAGGGGAAAAAAAATCTTGGGTTACTGTCAAAACTGCATTTGCCTTTACTTAGAGCAGCAAATGTTCACAGTCAGACTTTGATTCTTTGAAAGGATTCACCTCTTCCTTAACCTTGGATTGTAAGGTAAAAAAAAAAATACATATATATATATATATATATTGTGTTGATATTGGAAAAAGCTTACTGTTAAGGACATGATCTCCTGACATCAGGGCATGGGATATTTTAATATGAGGGAAATGGCTTTATGATTCTTTGGGATTTGTTTTGCAGCATACTTGCTCGTAGTTCATTTCAGAAAATAAAAGCATAAATGGAACAAAGTTGTACTGACACTTACATTTAGAAACTGAACAACACAGGAAAAGAGCAGAATGTCCAAATGCACTGAGACTACAGGTGCATTAGTAGAAAGATTGTGCTTGTTGCAGAGCATAATTCAATTCACCTGATGTTTATATTCTCCATCTTCATTTGGAGTTTTGAGTATAGATTTGAAACTCCTATATCAAAACTGCAAGTAGCATATTTGACACACACAGCACTTTGCACACCTTGCTCTACCAAAGCGTTCCAGCTTTTGTTGTATACATAGAGCAAAGGAGAAACAGCAAACTATATGGTCTTTTCTGATGTCACAGAAAGAGGCAGTATATAATTGCAGTGATGGTATAACCCCCAGGGTCAAGCCACAGCCTCTGCATGACAGAAGTGTAGGTCATACATTGCTGGCATCCAGCTCAGAGGCAAGTGCTGCCACTGCAAAGCGCCACATTTGGGAAGCATCGCAAAATGTAGCATTTGCCCATGAATTTTTGCTTACTTCAATTACCTCGCTCTGTATAGACATACCCTAGTGGCAAATGCGTAACAGGGGTTTCACACTTGTACTTCACCCTTTAGATTAGACTACAGCTTCCTCTTAATATCATAATTACAATATCTCTGTGCCTTAGACCAGCACCACAAACCCAGGCTGGAAACACCGGCACTGCTCATGGTGGGCAAGGGGCAGGCGCCTGCTGTGCTGGCCTGGCCTGCAAATGCAAAGGCTCTGAGGATTTAAGCACAGAAATGGTTGCTTGGGGCACTCACCAGTTTTTTTTTTTTTCTTGAACTTTTTTAGCAAACGTAGCCTTTGTTTGCATTTTTCTGTGGTATGTGTTTACTGTTCATTTGCGCTGCACATGCTGTGAGAAATTAAGCCATTATGTTGGTATTTTTTTCCTTTCTCCTGCTTTCATTCTTTTACAACCCCCTTCAAAATCCTTACAATTCCTTTCATTATTTGATGTTAACAGGACAAAAGAAATAAATACTTGAAAGAAGATACAAGCTGTGTTTCTGTTTTACTTTGGAGCTGCTGTGGTAACTGAATACCAGTCTGCAAGGTCAAAAAAAAAAAAGGGGAGGGGGGAGAAGCCAGAAAACCTCAGCGCTCAAACCACAGGTTGCGTTGCCTATTGTAAAGCAATTTTCAGCCCACATGCCTAAAGAGCATAGCAGTTGCTCTGTAAATCTCCGAGTGTTTCATATAGTTTCCTTGTCATGCGGCCATTAAGTTTTATAACCTTTATATTTCAAGTGAAACAATGAACGTGAATTCCTTCTAAAATGTCCTAATAGGTTCCACATGGCAGCAATTTTTTAATATTTGGGTTGCTCGGTAGGTAGCACGCCCGCCTGCGGGACGGCCGGGCTCGGCCCCGCCGGGGAGCAGCTCCCGCGGGGGCCTGGCCGCCGGCCTCGCCTCAGCGCCCTGAGGGGGCCGCGCGCGGGACCGTTAACGGCCGGTAGGAGGGGGGGGGAGGCGCATTGTGACGCCTGCCGCCGAACCTTCCAGAGAGGCGGATGTGAGGTGAACCGAGTTTATTTATTTATCTATTTATTTGTTTATTGGGAGAGCAAAACAAAACAAAACGTAAGAAAACGCCTCAAAACCAGGGCGAGAAACCGGTTGTGGGCCTAGGCTGCGGGTGGCAGCCCGGCGGCCATGTTGAGGGGGCATGGCGGGCCCTGTATGGGTCGTCTGTAAGGTGAAAGCTGCTTTCCTATTTTTTTTTTCTATGTTTGTGAATGCTGGAGTTTAGGGAATAGGCCAGAAAATATTAAAATAATCGCATCAGTTTTTCTTTCTTTCTTTTTGTTTTCTTTAATGGTGTGATTCTTAAGCCAGAAGTTGTAAACCGTTGCACTGCATTTCTGTTCCTCTTCCCCTTAGTTTTCCTGTGCTGGTATAATTCACACAAATTCTTTCACCCCAAAAAATAATTATTTCGCGTTCCTGTGTGGTGAATGGAAGGAGCTCAGAACTAGGATGCTTGGATTCTGCGAGTGATTTTCTGTGTCGGTCTGTACTGCTGCTGTGTCCATCCCATTCCTTTTTACATGGCTGTGAACAGACTCAGCAGTTTTGAAGAGGTGTTAAAATCTCATGAAGGCTTTGAAAGTTTGCACAAAGAACTGTTGATATTGATAACTGCAACAGTTGTCTGTTATTTTAACGGTGATATTATCCTGATGCAGTGGTACCTGTGCAGGTTGTACTGTTGAGAAATACAGATACTGGGTGAGTTATGCAACGTGAGCTGAGAGTTTGGTGTGTATCCTCTGATTTTTTTTTTTCCTAATGCAGTTGTTTGAAGTTTGATGTCTTCCTGACAACCTTGTTTGGCTCTTCATAGCAATTTTCATGCCCTGAAAATATGCAGGGGTTAGGTGGGGGATGCTGGATCATGTTCTTTGATAAGGGCCTGGGATTCCTTTAATAACAAGGACTCTTTTGTTGCAGACCGATCTTGTGCTACCTCTGTGTGGGAGTAGTGAAGTTTGAAATGGATGGTGTCACCAAATTGGTGACCACATCAGAACTGCTCCAGTCTGCACTGTTTACAGACAAATTAAGCTGTGTGTCAAAGCAAGGTCATTTGGTGATCCTGAGAAGCCATTTTAATATTATTGTTAGACCACGAGGAATTTCCACTTACTGTAAAGCTGTCAGGCTGCTCTGCTGCCCCTCATCAGTGGGACAGCAGTGTTGTTCCCTGCATGTACAGTGATACTGTAACGGTGTTTAGGGGTGCTGTGATGATACATGTCAATAATAATATGCTGCTTGTGAGAGTTTCTGCAGATGTATTAAAAGCTTAGGTGTATCAAAGCTGTGGAACAGCTATACAGTCCTCTGTCAGGTTAAAGAGTATAACGAAATTAATCTTTACAGGAAAGTATTATTATCAGTTAGCAGAGT